TAGCCATTACGCTAACTGCTGGTCCCAAGTATTTCATTCCTTTTAATGGTGGAATAACATCCCATTGTGTGGATGTACCACATTTCGTTCATCCAGTCATCTGTTGATAGACACTTGGATCATTTCCACCTTTTGGCTATTATGAATATGCTGCTGGGAACATGACTGTACAAGGATTTCTTTAAACACCTGTGTTTCTGTCTGCTTTTCTGTTGCTCTAACTAAATATGCTAGACTGAGTAATTTCTAATGAAAAAAGATTTAGTCAGTTTGTGAACCTGGAGGTCCAGAGATTGCATCTGGTGAGGTCATTTTTGGTGGGGACTCTCTGTAGTCTAATGCAGCACAGGGCATCACACAAAAAAGAGCAAAAGAGTATGTCATGGCTAGCTGGTAGTGTGGTAGTTAAGGTGGCTGGATTTCACATGACTGTCGTCGTGGTTCAGATCCAGCAGCTTGAAAAACACATTGGGTGCGTATGCATGTTTGCCTGAAAGTTTAAGTGGAGAATGGTAGAGAAGGGATTGTAGTGTTTCAGTCCCCCTGAGGGGTGATTTCTCACTTTCCCTCTGTTTCTGTCTCTGTCTCTCTCTGGAAAGCACATACACCCTAAAGCAAACTAAAAAAAAAAGTAAATAAAATAAGCATATGTCAGCTCTGATCTTTCTCTCTCTTTCTCTCTCTCTCTCTCTTTAATAAAACTACCAGTATTTAGTCAGGGTGAAAGGAGGGCATCTTGATGACCTTATCTAATCCTAATTACTTGCAAAGACCCTACCTCTTAGTGCCTTAATTACATAGTTGAAACAAGTTTCCACCCTCTTAATACCATCACAATAGCAACCAAACTTCAACACATGAATTTTGGGGGAATACATTCACACACCATAGCAACCTGCTTTCTGTTATTTTTGAGGCGTAGAAACACTAGATCATATGATAACTTTGTTTAACATTTTGAGAAAATGTCAGACTGTTTCCCAAAATATCCCACAACAACTGCACTATTTTATATACTAACCTACAGTGTATAAGGGTTCCAATTTCTCAATTTTTCTTCTTTATTATAGCCATTTTAACTGATGGGAAATTGTACCACATTGTTATTTTGATTTACATTTCTCCATTGGACTATATAGTTTTTTGGGGGGGAAGGTTTTTCGCTACAGGGCGCATGTGCTCGCCAGACAGACAGAGAGAGACATAGAGACAGAAAGCGAGAAATCACCCCCCAGGGGGGATGGTCATGCCACAATCCCTTCTCCTCCATTCTCCTCTCGGGATCTTGGGCACGTACGCACACGCGCCCGGCGTGAGTTTTAAGCCACCGGGTCTGGGACGCGAACCGCGGTTGACTACGTGGGAGTCCAGCGACATAGCCATTACACTAACTGCTGGTTCCCAATCGGGCTATATTTTTTTTTGAGAGAGAGATTTTCACTATAGAGCGCATGCACTCGCCAGACAGAGAGAGACATTAGAGACAGAAAGCGAGAAATCACCCCCCAGGGGGGATGGTCATGCTGCAATCCCTTCTCCTCCATTCTCCTCTTGGGACCTTGGGCACGCACGCACACGCGCCCGGCGTGAGTTTTAAGCCACCGGGTCCGGGACGCGAACCGCGGTCGACTACGTGGGAGTCCAGCGACATAGCCATTATGCTAACTGCTGGTTCCCCCCAATCGGGCTATATTTCAATCAATATTTTTCTAAAGCTCATTTGCTTGACAACCTTAAACCTCTAGAACAGGGGTCCCAACCCCCAGGACTGCAGATGAGTCTGTGTCCTGTTAAGAATCAGGCTGCATAGCAGGAGGTGAGTAGAGGTCAAGCAAGCGAATCTTCATCTGTATTTACAGCCCCTCCCCATTACATGTGTTACCACCGAGCTCTTCCTCCTGTCAGATCAGCTGCAGCATTAGACTCTCATAAGAGTTCATATCCTTTTGTGAACTGTGCATGAGAGGGATATAGTTTGTGTGCACCTTATAAGAATTAAATTCCTGATGATCTGAGATGGAGCTGAAACAGTGATACTATTTCTGGGAAGTGGTGGAAAATGTTGTATTATGATGAGTTGTATAATCATTTCGTCATGTATTACAATGTAGTAGTAGAAATAAAGTACACAATAAATGTAATGTGCTTTAATCACCCTGAAACCATCCCGCATTCTCTCACCCTGGTTATTAGAAAAATTGTCTTCTATGAAACTTGTCCACAGTGCCAGCAAGTTTGGCGACTGCTTCTCTAGAACATGGTTCTTCATATAATGAATTGAAAAATGGTCCCCAAAGCAGTAAGAGCAGTCACAGAACATCTGCCAGAAAGTCTGACATGGCCCCTTAGGCTCTGCATTCAGTGGGTAGCCAACTCTTATTCAACATTCTTGATTCATTTTTTTGTTGTTGTTTGTTTGTTTTTCAGAAAGGAACTGGAAAATTCATTATGGCAGGTATTTTGACAGTTAAGAGAAGTAACAATTAACAGTCTGCCACTAAAGGAGAGCTATAATACTTTGCAGGATATTCATGATCTCAAGTTTTTAACCAGAGGTAAAGTTATGTTTGATATCTTTTTAAAACAAAGCTACATATGTAGACTACATTTTAGAAAGACTTTTATGGAGAATGACTCAGAAGAAATCATGTTGTGTTCTTGAATAAATAAGCTTTCTTGCATTTTCTATGTGCTTAAGTTCTCAGTGAGAACTGAACAATCAGGTGATACTGAATTTCATCATGATTACAGAAAAGTCAAGCAGAAAACTTAATTTTGTATAGTTATTGAAAATATTGTTTAAAAAGTAAATATTTCCAAGAACTTTAATTCTACTTTTTGATCAAGTTAACAATTAGTTAATTTTTCTGATTCCCAAAGCTTACTTTTGTCCTGGTGTTATTTTGGTATATGTTTATAGGCTAATGCCAGTAAAATAATATTTCATGTTTTTTTCTCAGGTAAGTTGCTCAAAATTGTTGTGAGCTGACATTTGGTTAAACTGCAAAACTTATAGCGGCACAATGTTTAATGTATTAATGAACAGTTCTTCCTGTCTCAGTTATTTGTATATTCTAAAAGCTTCTTCTAAGTTGTTATAATTTCCCTTTATAGAGACTAAGAGAGTATATACAGACCAAAAATAAAAAAATCCAATGTCTTTTATAGGATTTTTTTCTTTATCTGAGGTACATTTTACATTTGTGACCTTCACTCTGCCTCATTTTTAATGGGTTTTCAGCTAGATGTGTTATTCCCATTTTATATGATTATCAACAATTATATTTCAGATTTACTCAGGAGATACCTCACAGAACAACTTAAAATTTCTTAGCAATTGCTATTTTCTGGCTTTTGATGGCAGATAATCAATCCTTTAATCATACCATAGTACAGCCAGTTTAAAGATGGATTTTTGATAGCCTCGAAACTGGAGACATGAAAGTGGGCTATGAATGTAGAAGGGGCTGTCATATCAAGCTATGCCATTTTCTGTGCTGTGGCCCCAAAATGAATTTCTGCCACAAACATAAAAAGGAAGCAATTGTTGTTTAAAAATAATTTAAAATTTGGTTCTTACCCAGTCTGGTACCATAGTATTAAATCTAAATGGTTGCTTTATTTTGCCTTTTTTTTTTTTTTGCTATAGGGCCAGTGTGCTCAGAAAGACAGAGAGAGACAGAGAGACAGAAAGCAAGAAATCACACCCCCTCCCCCCAGGGGAGATGGCCCCACCGTGATCCCTTCTCCTCCATTCTCCTCGCGAGATCTTGGGCACGCATGTACATGCGCCCAGCGTGAATTTAAGCCACTGGGTCCTGGATTCAAACCATGGTCGACTACATGGGATTCCAGTGACATAGCCATTACTGCAACTGCTAGTCCCTCTTTTGCACAATTTTACATCGGGAAATGCCTTTTTAAAAAGAGATTTTTGCCTTAAGTTTAGCGTGCTTGCTGGAGAGAGAGAGAGAGATAGAGAGAGAGAATGAGAGGGAAAGTGAGAAATCACCCCCCTCCAGGGGTGATGACCATGCTGCAGTTTCTTCTCCTCCATTTTCCTCCCAGGATCTTAGGCACACACACACATGCCTGGTTTGAGCTTTAAGCCACCAGGTCCAGGACTTGAACCACAGTTGGCCATGGGGGAGTCAAGCAACATAATAGCTGCCTGCACTGTGTTGCACTATCAGTATATAGATGTGTCCTGTTTTAAATAGGGAATGGGTACTTTTCTTCAAATCCAAAATTTCAAACAGAGCATTGTATTAACTAATTTTATGTATTTATTTCTTGCGGGTTCTGAAAATGCCTTTTCTGAAAACTCTACTGCTTGGATTCTATGCTAGAGCTATCTCTGTAAACCCTTCTCCCTACCACACTCTTCCCCAGCTCCACTCTCCTCCAAACCTAGTGTGCTTCTAGGTCACTGTCAGCAACTTCTCCATTTCTTTATTCTGTGATCCTCAGTTTTCTTAGTCATTTTAACTTCCCTTGATTTTGCAGCAAAACTTTTTTCGTTTGTAATTTCCTTCCCAATCTTATTATTTAAAACAAAAAAATGGAAAAATTTTCCTCTCCCTGATCTGAGGCCATTCTACAAATTGAAGGGCAGGAGCAGCATTTGCTTTTTGAAAAGAATAATTGGAAATATCAGCTGCAGAGCACAGAATTCTTTTGAATGTCCGCTGGTTATTTAAAGAAAATTCAGCAAATGAACAAAATAAAATACACAATATCTTAGTCTTTATAGCTTCCTTCTTAGGAGTTGGCTGCTAGTTTGATTTTTAGTTATTCTAATACAAATTTTATTTTATAATTAGCTGTTTGTTTGACTGGACCAGATTTGACTTCAATGAAAACCTGAGGGTAAAAGTAAACATCTCACCAAAGCATCCTGTTATCTCTCTCACATTTAGCTTGAACTCATTTTTAATCCTTTAACAAATCAGCAGTAATATTGTCCTAAAGAGGTGACTCTTGATTTTAATTTTGTTCAGTATGACGGCTGTCAACCTTGCCTTGATTCGGGATACCAATTGGCTGACTTTAGAAGTCTGCAGAGAATTTCAGAGAGGAACTTGCTCCCGAGCTGATGCAGATTGCAAGTTTGCCCACCCACCAAGAGTTTGCCACGTGGAAAATGGTCGTGTGGTGGCCTGTTTTGATTCTCTAAAGGTGAGTCCTAACTAAAGGAACATACAATTTAATTTAAATGTGTTGATTTCTATACTTTTTGAAATATGTTGTTCTTTGAAATGAGTAAAATTAATAATAGCATGAAAGCAGTAATTTTTTTTTTAATCAAGGGTTCCCAACCCATGGGTCCTTGACCAATGCCAGCCCATGGTCTGGTGGGGACCCAGCTGTGAATTGGTGCTGGTCTGTGGCCTGTTGCTCCCCTCGCCCCAACACCCACAGCAGGTGGTCAGCAAATAAGCAAAGCTTAGTCTGTATCTGCAGCTGCTCCCCATTATTGGCATTGTCACCTGAGCTCCATATCATGTTGGATGAGTATAGTATTGGATTCTCATCAGAGCCCGAACCCTACTGTTGTGTGATTGCTTCATATGTGGTACTGGTGGAAATGGGGTGCACAGTGGATGTGGTACACTTGGATCATCCTGGGATCAACAACTCCTTCTGTGGAGGGATTGTCTTTCACAAAGCTGGTTCCTAGTGCTGAGGAGAGTGAGGCCTACTGGTTTTCCAAGACAGGATGTAGATGTTGTAGAATAAACCAACCTAAAATCTACTCCATTGGGACCAGCAGATGGCAAAATGGTTATATCCCTAGACTCCCACATGGTCAACTGCAGTTCAAGTCCCAGACCTGGTAGCTTGAAACTCATGCTGGGCACGTGTGTATGCATGGACAAAATCCCAAAAGGAAAATGGAAGAAAAGAGGTTGCAGTGTGGCCATTCCCCCCAGGAGGTGTTTTCTTGTTTTCTGTCTCTGTCTCTTTGGGAAGCACACATGCCCTATAGCATAAATCTCTAAAAAACAAGCAAACAAACAAAATTACCCTATTAAAGACTACTTATTAAAATAGATACACTTGGGACCAGCAGATGGCGTAATGGTTATGCTGATGGACTACCATGTAGTTGACTGTGGTTCAAGTCCTGGACTCAGCGGCATAAGACTCACTCTGGGTGTATGTAAATGTGTACATGTCTGAAATCCCAAGAGGAGAATCAAGAAAAAGGGATTTCAACGTGGTCATTACCCTGGGGAATGATTTCTTGCTTTCTGTCTCTCTGTCTCACTCTGTCTCTCTGGCAAGCATAGGCTCCCTATAGCAAAAATCTCTCTATAAAAAAAAAAGAGGGATCAACAGTTAGCGTAATGGCTATGTCACTGGACTCCCACGTAGTCAACCATGGTTCGAGTCCCAGACCCAACGAGTTAAACTCACGCTTGGCGCGTGTGCGTGTGTGCCCAAGATCCCGAGAGGAGAATGGAGGAGAAGAGATTGTGGCATGGCCATCCCCCCGGGGGGGGGGGGATTTCTCGCTTTCTGTCTCTATGTCTCTGTCTGTCTGGCAAGCACACGCGCCCTATAGTGAAAACCTCTCCAAAAAAAAAGATAGATACACTTAATAAAAATGCAAGAACTTTTGTAGGAGAGAAAGGTTGAGGCCTTTCTATAGTTTACTCTTTTTCCCCCCCATGATTTAGATTTTGAATACAGTGATTATAATCCTCATATAGCCTAGAGAAGTCCTTAACTGAATTACAGCTTATATCTATACTATCAAAATAATTTTGATAGTTTGTAACCAGCTTTCAGAGGAAAAATAAAGTCAGACCTAGAGTATTTAAGATGAAAATCTTAACATTCAGGAGGAACATAGTAACATTTTGAAGTTTATTAGTCAAAGTACATTTTAAACCTTTAACTTAAACACTGCAACAAAACTAGGTTCACTTAATTTTTTTTTCATGAAAAACTGATAAAGTAGTTTCAAATTTGTGAGTATCATTTTTTAGGGAAGTTCTATTGCCAAAGTTATCAAACTTGAATGTAATATACTAGAATATAGACAAAATATGAGGGCAAATGAGATATGTGGAATATGACATATATGATGGCAGAACGAAAAAAAAAACTCGTTTTATTCATTATTATCCTTACATTAAAGATAAATATCTAGAAATTAAAATATAGAAGCACAAAATGGAAATGGATTCCTGGTTTAATTAATAAGATTTGCTATGATACAGATGAGATTTTCTTTTCAAAATATATCAAAATGAAATAAGCTTAACAAGAATCTTCAGTTTCTTGATACTATTTTACCTTTATCATGACCAATTCTACCTCATTAACATTTTTATTTATGGCTGACTTGGCTGGTTGAGATGCATTCCTTTGTCTGCCAGTTGCCTTAGTAAACATGTTCTAAGGTACTGTACTATGTATAGTTCATTTTACTTATTTTTTGTGGTTACTAGTTTTTGTTGCAGACCATTCCTGTTCTAGAATGGAAAGTTGTTATTGTAAAAATAAAGGTAATTCTGAGACCATCAGATGGTGTATTGGTTGCATCATTGGCCCCGCAACGTAGTCGACTGCATTTCGAGCCCCCCACCCCGGTCGGCTAAAAGCAGTTGGGATGCCCCCCCCTGCCACTCCCTCCCCAATAAACCCAGTGTGAATGTGTGTGTATGCTCAAAATTCTGAGAGGAGAAGGGATTGTGGCATGGTCATCCCACCTGCCGGGTGGGGGGGAGTGATTTCTTGTTTTCTGTTTCTGGCAGTGCTCATACCCTATAGCAAAAATCCCCCTCAAAAAAAAAAAAATGGTAATTCCTACCATTGAAAATCTCGAGTCTTTTTTATAGCAGATATTATGACTGTAGTTATTATTTGCTGTAGTTCATGTAGTTCATGTTTCATCTGTATTATTTAAATCTACTGCTACAAGAACAGATGTTGCCTTTAAGTGGAAAAGAGCACTGGGTTTATTGGGGAGGGAGTGGCAGGAGGAGACATCCAATCTGTTCAGAAAATATGTTGATGTGCTTGATTGAGGCAATATACAGGGTATTCTGGATGGAAAATCTCAATTTTATATGCTGTAATGATGTATAGTGAATGAATGTAAATAAATAAATTTAAATTAAAAAATTTTAAAAAAAAGAAAACCAGGCACGCCTCTAGGCACTTCATGCATGTTGTCTCAGAAGATCAGGGGTACAGTGCCAGCCTCATTCCCATGTCTGACCCTGGCTTACTTAGTTTCATGAACCTTGAGCTACTTTATCTCTAACAGATAGGCAGTATCTTCCGTGCCTAACTTTTATGATCATCATTAGGAGTTCAATGAGAAAACACAAATGAAAATCCATGTATAACTATGAATGCATTAAATGAGTTTATCTTCTTACTATTAACTAAGGAGTTTCTAAAAAAGCTTCTATTTAGTTAGGATTTAGTGTTTAAAACTACAAACTCCTATTCCCAAAGGGAAATGCCCAAATCCAGTTGCCATGATTGTGATATTAGTTCTTCAAGCTAAGTGTCACTGGTTTTATTGTTTACTCTCTGATACAGAATTCTTTGAAAGTTTTGTAAATTCTGTCTCTTCATAGAAAGATCATGAACTTTTTAAATTCTGTCTCTTCATAGAAAGATCATGAAATGTGGAAAGGAGATGTGTGAGCTTCCTAATCATTGATGCATTTGAGGTTAGTGCTCCCATGTGAAGGCAGAAGTACACCATAAATTAAGCATTTTGGAGATAAGTAATACGAAAGGTGATTATTTGCAAAATGCATAATGCACTATCACTTTAAAGCTTGGAAAATGTTTAGAGACTAAATAGATAATGACCAATGAATATTAATAAGGCTTGTGACTATTTAAATAAGCTGTCCATCCACTCAATATATCTCATGTTTTTTAAATCAGTTTGCATTATGTTAATATCTTGATCACCAGTCACACAGGATACAGATGACTTACATGATTCTCGCATTCTCAACCTTTAGTGAAAACTTCAATATTTCAAATATACAGAGCCTTTCAAACAATTATTTAGTTTGCCATCTCATCAGTCTCATGTCTGCACAAAAGCTTTGTAGTTCTCTTCTATGATATTTCTTATACATAATATGCATAAACGATAAACTCAGTTGAGAGTAATAAACCTATGTGGACTGTACTATTATATTTATAATATACAAATAACATACCTCAGTGGTTACTGAAGCATTTGCTGCCCCTCTTGAATTTGTATTACTAAAATATCATTGAAATTCATTTGTGTCTTACTTCTTTTTCCCTGTGTGGTTAAATAACTGTAGCAATCATTTGATGAGTTTTAGTTCACAGCTTTTCAAAATTTTTTTGTTGGTTTGTTTTTTTGTAAGGGTTCCATTAGAACTAACTACTCTACCAGATGATGGTTCTTTGCTTTCATAATAGATGCAACAGATACAATGTCCTGTCCTCACCTCATAATGAGAGAATGTTATGAAAATAAAAGGGCAAAGTGTATGGCTGATTGTATATTGTGATGAAGTGATATGCCTATCGCTCCATGAATTTTGAGTGTTCAGTGATCAGGGTTGCTCTATCTTCAGATAAAATCTAGACAGTACAGCCCATAGATGAATATCCAGCTACATAGAAGAATCTCATGTCATTTTGGTACACAGGTGTTTTTTACTCAATTGTTTGGCACAATTTATTTGAGAAGTTCTCTTCAAAGTGTTGATTAACCCATTATCTGCCAATTTATTGATTCTACTGTTTGTCATTAATTTATTGGGTTGTTGGAAAAGTTATGATGCATTTTTCCATAGAAAAAATATGTCATGAGTTTTCCAACAAGCAAATACATTGATATTTTAGTGACTGTGTTTTGAATTTATAAAAGGATCATGGAGCAGCAGGTGGCCTGGTTGTTAAGGCACTGGTTCTTATGCGACCAACTCTGTAGTTCCAGTCGAGGAGCAAGCAGCTAGAAAACAGATTAGGTGTGTGTGCCCAAAATCCCAAGATGAGAATGGAAGAGAAAAGATTACAGTGTGGCCATCCCCATGGGAGGTGATTTATGACTTTCCCTCTCTTTCTTTCTCTCTCTGATGAGTGAATGTATTCTATAGAAAAAACTCTGGGAAAAAAATTTTTTTTAAGTTCATCATTTTTATAACTAAATCAATCTT